CATACACGTTCAGGTAATCCATATTTCAGAGCTAATAAGTACTGTATACAACTCTTCCCTGTTAACTGACTTGTCAAACAGCTTGGTTTGACCACTATAGCCAGTCATTTGGCATCTGCAAATTGGAATTTTATACAAAAAAATGTTCTTATGTAAAATCTTCACAAAAAAGATGCACATTTAGAATAAATGTCTTTTAATCACTTACAAGTTTGTGAAATTCAAGCTTGTTTACTCTGAAAAGGTCCCATTTACAGTGAGGTATTGTATAAAGCTAGGTTATGTTAATGCTTCAGTATTATTTGCTATTCATTTTTTTTCACGATTCTCATTGCACGAAGTTCAGGATTCAAAAAAGGCTAAAAACCATTGTGTCAAAACAAACTCATGAGAACAGTATTCATCCCATCTCATTACCTCAAGACCAGCATGTAAAGAAAACAACAACAAACGAACACAGAGGTCAGTTGTCCCTAAACGACACAGAAGTTACAGTAACTCAAAACCCTCATCCACAATACGGAATGCATTCTGGACCGCAGGCTCTAGCTGACCGGAGGAAAAGCAAACATGTTTAAATTCAAATTTGACCACTAATAAGACACCACAAAATAAGGGCACCACACAACACATTCAAATTTGAAACAGTTTTATTATTACTTGAAGATCATTTACATAAGTTCATGTTTTGTTTTTTTACCATTTGGATCTCACATTTCTGCATTACACACACACACACACCAGAGCTTCGTCAACTCCTGCAGAGGCGCCCACTACAGGAACTAATCCAAAATCTACATTCAGCTTCTTGGATTAAGGCTGTTTTGTTACACATCTGCACGGCACTGTGCTCATCAGCTGCCCCCCCCATTCCTGTTGAAGATCAGAACAGCTATATTAAAATTGAAAGGGAGCTTCCAAAATACCTTTTCTCCACCTGACCTTGACTCAAAAGTGTGCACAATACTGAAATCTCATTTTCTACATATGCCAGAATTCAAATGCAGATGCGTACTGCATCTTACTATGCAAACCTTTAATCAGAGAATTAAAAGTTAAAAAGAAGAATCATCAATGTGATGTGATGAAACATCAGTTTCACAACAAACCAATGTTAACTGTTGATCAGATTTCACCTTTAACTCCCCATATAATACAATTTTGGCTTCTTTGGGTATATTGTATGTCCCCAGCAAAACATGAAATAGTTCACGTCTAGAGAGAGAGAGTGTTCACTGCATTAGAACATTCACAGAAGCAGTGTTATAGTAGTTTCCTTACAGTGTTTAGGATGTGTGGATTTAACTGCTATGAAGCTGTTTTAGGATTCTAGGAGGACTTCATTTACGAGGGTCATAGATGATAGGTTAAACTCCAAATAACTGCCAGAAAAGATGAATACAAACATTACATAAGAAAGCTACATTAGTCTCAGTCATTTAATTGCACAAAGGGAAACCATCAAAATACACTGACTTCAGAAGTATTCTAGCTTGCCAAAGCCTGTTTCACCCTTTGTTGATTGAATAACAATTTACCAGATATTTTGGCAACAGCTGTTGCTTCAGAGCCAAGCTGGAGCAAATAAAGCAGGATGCAGTTGTCTAGCAAGCCTTCAAAACCAGCAGGGTGTTGAAACGCGTTCACAGTGACATCGTGGCAGAGTTATGTTGCAGGTGATCCCCAGATTACACAATGTGCATGCACTCCAACTCGGTTTCCTTTCTTAAACATCTAACAAATAATTCTGCAGCAGAAGCACGCTTAGATTAGATTCTCAAGAAAAGATGTCTTGACAGGGTGGATAAAAGTACACCAAACGTTTTGCATGCTTCAAGGTCTTTAATTTCAAGTTCATTTTCCAAAGCCAGTAATGAGTAATTTCATGAGGAAAATCTATATCCTTATACCTCGAGCCACTCTATAAACCATGCAACCTGTTGCCAGGTTAATTCAACACAGCCGTAGTGTTATAAATTGGAAGTGCAGCATTACAACTCTGAAAGCTTGGAATTACTGCAATAAATATCCTTATAGAAAACAGTGATGATTTTCAGACTTGCCGCAAGTTTTATGATATATTGGAGTTCCTGACATTATTGCTTGACTAGTCTGATGCCCACTTCTCTCATTTGTTTCCCCAATTCTTCAGAAACCAGTGTCCTCCAGTGCCAGAGTTTGGATTAGCAACCAAGTTGCACAAATCTGGGAGATGTTTATTTCTGGATGTGTAGAAAGTCTGCAATATTACTGTTTTTATCTGTTGCAATTTCTCTGCTGGAACATGCAAATGATTTCAAGACCAAAAATTAAACATTTTCCAAGCATATGAAGTCCTGGGGGTTACAAATAGAAGGATCTAAGACTCACAATCATTTTAAAATATTGTCTGAGAACCATTTTAATAAGGGAAGGAGACTATGCGGCTTGTCTCCTTCACTTCGCCTTCTCAAAGAAGCCACCTTTAAAGGTGCTGTATAAAATAAAGTTTATTATTATTATTAAGCAACAACTTACTTAATATTCAAAGTTACAAAAGAAACCGTACCTTTCCTTATCTACTTGCATTTATGATGGCCCAAACACTATTTTTAACAAGGCTTTTCAAGTAAGAATAAGCATAGGAAATTCTGTATATTTAAACATTACCAATTACTGGGTCATTATTTATTCCCTTGTCAAGCGGACTTCACTATAAATTTGTTGGAAGTCTGTGCCATCTTTATGATGACGTACTCGGGAACATTGTGGTTTTAATGTTCGCTCGCTCATGAAATTATTTAATCCAAAAGTACTGGTGGACACAAAACAAGGTGAGTTCCGGTCGTGACATTGAATGACATTTGTGTTTGTAAGGTGATGCTGGTTTTAAAAGTACATCCCTTCCATAACCCCTTCTTCTGTACATTTAATACATACTGTACATGGCACTGGTACAAGCAGGATAGGTCATAAGACTTATATACATTTGCAATTAGTGTTATCCAGGGTAATGTGGGGGGAAAAAAGGAGATGTATTGTTTATTTAAATTTATTGTAAACGTGGGTTACGACACAGCTCACCATGACTGTTCTAATAATATATTCACTTTTTTCCTAGAAAATCAAAACATCTGTCGATAGAGACTCATGTGCGAGTAATATATATTTTGCTGAATTTAGACAATCCACAGGCTAAAGACATCTTCCCATGTAGGGTATCTCTTACACTTTTTTCCATATGGAAAAATATCCCCATGGCTTCATGGCCAAACGACTAAACAATTGGTCAGTTACATTCAGTTTTCATAACCCTTTCAAAGACTGCCTAGTTAATTATGTTGTTGCCCAAGTCTTAATTCTGGACGGCTTTCACTTTTTTGGGGTTTCCCTAAAATAAAATGGAATGTTACACTCTTTCTATCCCATATATTGAATTACAAAAACACTGCCACCTTTCAGGGGAGTGGAAGTTCAAGAGTTACTTTCACTTACTGAGTATACATGACCAAATTGATAAAATAGGCGATTTTACACGACTGGCTAATTCAGCCATTATGTGTTTGATCCCAGGCAGTTCTTCATGCAGTTCCCAGTGTACCATCTTAACCACACGAGCCACTAAGAACTCATGGGAAAATATTTTGTCCATGAAACATACACTTCAAGTTTCACACAAAATATAACTTGCAAGTTGGACAGTGCTTGAAATAAACAGTTTAGCTGTGTCCCCTACTTTACACTAGATGTTTTGAAATATTGCTTCCGAACGGCTTACTTTTCTGTACATTCAAAAGGCATCTGACAAACTGAATGAGGAATTTACCATTTTCTTTCTGTGAAACTGCCCCCCCCAGCACTGTTTACACACCTTCACACACACATATACACACAATTCACTCCAAGAATATTTTGTGATCTAAGGGGACGTGCTTTTAAAACCTCACTTTAGCAAAGAAACCTTTCTCCTGAAATTAAAATATCAACGTGTGAATGTTTTATTTTCAATTAAGCAGAGACAGCATGCACATTCAACAACTGAACATGTGCTAAAGTGTTACCAGTAGCCTGACCTGTGCTTACACAAACTTGGAGACTGGCATCTTTATGGAAACCAATTTACAGAAATAAGTGTTTATTTTTCTAAGTGGCAACAAAATGGCTTTCATTTCTGTCCCATGGCAAGAACAACATTTTAACCAACTCTAATGATTTGTAATCTTTATTTTCCACTTCTAGTTTACAAACTAACCTCAGTTTCTTTAAAAATACTTTAACACAAAGCCAAAAACAAATGACTTTCTATAACAAACATATTGATCAATTCCCAATTCAGATAAAACCACCACTTGATGCAATATTCATCCCAGAAATCTGTGCAAAACCTGCTCCTGGGTCCTATCAGGACATCAGTTTCTTCTGCAGTGTAATTCTTTTAGACTGACAGACTGATATGCAAGGAGGAACAAGTAAAAGGTTGATTTCATGCTGAAAAAAGGAAAGAAAATGTTTCCGCCTTCTTCCGGTGTCAAAACTTTGTTTTCTTTCTTTTCAGCACGGAATAACCTATACTTGTTTATTTCTTTGCAGCCTACACATGCTGACACAGCTCCCTACTTGAACTGATATGCAAGAATGTGAAAACGATAAATTGATTACTTCTTGGTGTGCACAACGTGGCACAACAACATTTGTGAGTATGTTACAGTAAGTCTATTTTAAGACTTACATTAAAACATTGTTCTCATACTACAGACACTAATTTTCTCTTTTTTTCCTAGAGTGCTACTTATTTTTTGCAGGCACTAAGGCTGCAATTACACATCTGCCTCATTTTTAATGCTTTTTCTTTGCCAAGCTTTCAGATTGTCTTTAGAATATATGTGGTTTGTATTAGCTGGATCTTCTAAAATGAACCAAAACTTAGGAAGTTGAATTTCTGCTAAACACAACAGAAATGTATATTTTGTTATACACAAAAAAAAAGGCTGAAATTGTTCTACAGTAACTGAAATTTACGATTTCCTCATGCAATTTATTTTAGTTGAAAAGGTTCAATTTAAGATCTGTTTGTTTAGCCCCAGCAAATAGCAGGTGTTTGATTGTTCTGAAGCAAGGACCAAAAGTGTACAAATTCAAGATTTCTTAATTTCTTACTTTAAAATATTTTTGTACAAAGGTAACCAAGAGTATTTGTTTATACATCTCCAAATGAAAAAAAAAAACATCCAGTACATATTACAGTATAACAGAATGGGCATTTTACTTGTGTATTATATAAATGCATATGAAAATTTAAATTCAACTTTTAAAAATGTTTTGCAGTATACTGTTAGGAATTTTAAAATCAGTCATTAGACTTGGAAGGAAATGTAGTTTCAAAGGTTTCTTAAAAAAATTTTTTATTGAAGCACAGAAGCACAGAGGTCCAATTTAAAACTGAAAGACACAAAAAAAAGCTTTGGATTTGACAGGTACCTAGTAAACAGAGGGGCTAACAGCAGATGTAGCGTTACTGAAGAACAAATCAAGAACATGTGGATTAGGTCTGAATGTGCCATGCATGCAACCCCTATAACCGTTTTATACTGTTCATAATGTATGCAGTATACCAATTGATGTGCTCCACTCATAAGACTTTCAAACTAGTTTGAAAGGACTAATGTGCATTCCCTTTATACAGCAAAACCAATAGTGAAGAACGGTTTTCAAAGAAGTGTTATAAGAGGCATATCACATCATCTGAACAGAATTAATCACTGTATAGTAATTGGCGTTACGTGCTAACATGCCCGCATATTGACCTGAAAATATCATTAAGAAAACTTTTTTTTTTCTTACACAAGTAAACAAAATGAACGGAAAATGAAGATTGTTTTTTTCTTTAAAAAAAAAAAAGAGGTGTTTTACAGGAGTTGAAAATAAATACATACAATATAATCATTGTTCGTACAGAAGTAGTATATACAGAGCTTGGGGTAGTACACCAAAAATACGAAACAAACATTGCCCATATATATTTAAACCGTTTAAGTATGATAAGGTTAGTGAATACCTGTATTAATATGGAAAAAGTAGCATAAAAATAAATGTTACATTATTGCTGTTGTTTTGTAATAAGGAAGCTTGTTACTAAATTTTAAAAAAAGTGCACAACACTGCATCACAATGGATCAGAGATCAGATAAAAGATACGTAAAATGATTTTATAATTTCAATAAAAAAGGCACTTTGAACTTGGGTTTTTACATGCAATGAAGCTGGAAACGGTGCTTTCAAACTGACAAGATGCCTCCCTAGCACTGTGCTTCCGTTTTGCATTCTACACCCTCTTCCAGATAGGTTTCCAAATTCAACAAAAACACAGGTTAGCAGTAGATTATATTGCCCACAATTTAAAAAAAAAATCCTTTTGTGCAAGATAGCACATACACAGCAATGTGGATCACTCTCACATTGTTAAAGATTTGGGGGGGGGGATGGGCGGCGGCTGGGGGGCTTTGGTATACATTAGCAGTTGAAACAAGAAATTGCATATTGGTCCCTGCAGACTGCTTACCTGTCACAGTTGCACCAATTAACTTTAGAAAATGAATGTAAGCGGTATAGAGACTAATTTTGGAGTTTCTTAAAGAATGGCTTTGTAGCTTGCAGAGAAATGCATCTCTTTGCAAAGCATCATGACTTACACTTGCATTATGGGAGAACTGCCTACTAGACTGCCCACTGCCCACACGCCTACTAGACTGTATATAAAAAAAAACAACAATCCTTTTATAGGTTCAGCAAAATCTCTTTGTAAATAAATATTTCAAGATATTCTCCATTTTTGTAGACATGTTAGATTATTTTCCTTATCTGTTACTTGAAGGGTTTCAGTCTTTGCAATGGGATAATTGTTTAACTCTATAAATATAATCTATATAGTTCTTCTTCTGTTATTTGCAGACGAATTGGTCCACGATTTTCGAGCATCTCTTGCACTTCACGTAGCAGCACCAGTGAAACTTGCAGTGGCACCTCTCTACCACCTGGGCCTTGAACTGATCGTAGCCCCTTCCACAGCACATCAGCTCACATCCATCCATGCCCTCCGACGTCTTGTTACAGAGCCTCCCCTGGGTCCCCAGCGATCCCGTGCTCTCGTTTCTAACGCAGTAGTCTGGGCTGCCGTCAATGTAGATGAGGTCGTGGCTGGTAGGCGTGTTGAATTTGTTGTTGACCTGCACCAGTTTACCTCTGGAGTTGAGCTTCATGGCCGCCGCGCTGTCGTACTTCTCCTTCAGGGCGTCTCCGACTTTCCGAAAATCGGCCAGCTGCAGCCAGCAGGTCTTCAGGCTGCAGGACCCCGAGACACCATGGCACTTGCAGGAGACGTGAGCGAGGTCTGAGACAGTCTGAGGAAAGCAGAAGAAAGAGCAGTCAATAGGAGCACTTATCTTGCAACGTAACTCCATGGGGGTAAGAATAGGGTTTTCAGTGCCGGCGAAACATCCTGAGCTGTAAAATTAGGCAGGACAATTCCAACCACTTTCTTAGTGGAGACAGCTGTCAGATGCCCAGCTTTCACCAATACTACATCAACCATTCCCTGTCACAAACATTTTTTACATGTACTGTATATACAAACCGTATTTATTCTCACAAATTCTGTATTTGCAAATGGCTTTGAGAGAAACTTGAGCTCTAAACCTCAAGTCAGAACCATGACAGCTGAACTTGAAAGGGCACTTGGAAAGATCACAAGAGGTTCAAAGAAAAAGAAGCTGAAAACACTTAAACATGAGGGGGGGAAAAAAAAAACAGGCACTGATCTCTCCAATAAAAGAAAAAAAAAAACGATTGATTTAAACCAAAACATACCAACACCCTGAAAAAAAAAATTGACACACAGACCCCTCTGCTTCCCAGGATACAAAGCACATGCTTATTCTGTAGTCTGACAATAACAGATGGTAAAGTGTCCTTACTCTTCGTCCTGCTTCATTGTTGTGCAGGTTCATGGATATTCGTGCGCCCTCGTATGACCCTTTTTGGTACGTTTTCTCTCTTTCCCGGGCATCAACAAATTCCTTGGAGAATCTGTAGCCGTAGTCGAGGTTGTCTCCGCAGCCACCCCAGAGCCAGTCCCGGGGCAGGTCCTTAGGTCTCGCCGCCCTGCTGCAGCCACAGGAGGAGAGCTCCCCCTCCCTGCAGGCCCGGCTTACTGCGTTCACCACCCCCGCTGCGCTGATGGCATAGGTGAAGGCGGTTTCACGGCTGCCTGGCGTTAATCACACAACAGGAAAACGTGTAAGATGGGAACAGAATGGCTAAGAAAATTAAAAAAAAAGGTTTTACACTGTCGCAGCAAGAAAGCCAAATGTGATGTTCCATAAATCAAGACAGTTTTCCGTTTATCACAGTCACAAGCATACTGCACTCTACATCCTTTAGTTTCTCTCAACCCCTTTACAAAGGTTTTGACATGGCATATTCTTGCATATTATCTCCAAGTGTCATTTCTTTCATCCGTGCACATCCTACATCACAGGTTCAGGCAGTCTTCTCATGCTGCCGAAGCTGTGGAGAGTTAAGACATGAAGACTAGGGGTCAGGCTTTCCCTATGACAGCCTGCTGTTATTACTGTGAGGCCGGTCCAGGTTGAGGGAAATGGGGATTGAAAACAAGCACAGTCCCTGTGGGGGATTTAAAAAGTACTGTGGGATTTAATTGTCGAAGCACTACCTCTTGCCTGCAGTGTCAGTCAAGGAGGGGAAAAAAGTTACTTTTGACAATGTCAAATACAGTAAAGGGAACTGCCTATGAGAGTAATCAACCAACATATATGATCTGCAGACTGCTGACTACTATTTATAGGAGACCATCTATTCTTATTCACTCAAAAATAATGTCCTGTCTAGGCTGAGGCAGCACAATCTCAGTCTTAATGTGGGTGAACATTCCATTCACCAGAATCTATTCCAGTTCCACAGATCCAGCTAAGCAGAGGAGAGAGCACAACATCCATCTAAAACAAACTATTTCAATAACAACAAGAAGAATTCTGGGAAAGGCTTTCCCACTGGAAGAGATTTTGATCAAAGCTTGGTGGCTTTGCAACATGCCTCCAGGATCTCATTTGAATACTTTATGAAACTTATTTTAATTGCAAGCTTGCAATCCCGGCTACATAAGAGCAAGTGCAAATGCATCTGAATTTCAGGAATATTTCTCCCTCCTAAATTTTATAAGCTACCCTGTAAATACCACTCCTTTACTTCTGGTTAAAGAAAAGGAAACAGACTAAAGAAAAGGCAATGTATTTAAGGAAGCAGCCACAGAGCATTATGTTTGCATTAAGTCAGATGTATAGCTTTTCTCAACAATTTACATTAACTACCCAGAAGATACTGCTATTTCATGAATACTTCCATGGAACAAAAATGAATAGATTCATTGAGATTTTCATAGTATCACACAAAGCATATACTGTTTCCAATCTCTCTGGCACAAAATGTATACAACATGTTGGATAAAGATATTACATTTGCTATGAAGAATATGCTTCACAAATAAAATTGTCGTTGTACAAGCATTGTTTCAGTTGGGCAAAATGAAATACCTATAAGCTATCACCTTGAATGTATTTTTTCCAACTGCATAGACATTCATACTAATGAAGAATGACGAAGAACTTGTTTTACTGCAATCTTGCATTGGTGAACACTGCAGAGCACGTGTCTATGTGAATCACTGTGATAAGCTGCTGCTTGTGGTAGAAATATCCAACCTTTATCTGACTCATTATGCACAGTTCAATGTTTCCCCATTTCCAACACTACAGAAGTCCATGGGACAAAACCTTTCATAATTCATAAGGAACAGCCTTTCCATAATGTGCCAATACCGGATTCTATCCAATTATCAGACAGAATAAGTTGAAAAGGTATTTGAACTTGTTGCTCTGTGCAAGTCAGCATTAATTACCCAAGAGTGAATTCTGTATGTACATGCAAGAACTGTGTGGGGTTTTTAATGTTTGCATATGATATTTAAGTACTGTATTCTTTAGAAATATAACAACAAGATCTACCAAAACTGATGGGAAAGCATTAGTTTAAAATCCACAGCAAACATCAATTTTGGAAATGTTGTAATTGCTTACTATTTTAAGTGCCCATTGAAAGGCTGACTTAAGATGTTTTGATGGAGCCAAACCTTTTTTTCAGATCTCATAAGTCTCTGTTATTAGCTGCTAAAAATGTACATTTCCTTAAGTGCTGCAAAAACAGCACTGATTTGGGGATTTTCTTCTAAGAGAAGTGAAGATCAGAATGGGCATCAGTTCTAGAATCTATCTAATCTGCAAAGACGAAGATTGTATTCCACTTACAACTAATGTACTGGGGGTAGGCAGCCAACTTGCTCTGAGCCGCAGTTTAGGATTTTTGATTTTACAACCAACCGCTAAACTAAGCTCAAAATAGCTCTACTAACATACACTCCGCATGCAAGTCTGTGAGCAATATCTACAGTTGGATACATTTCTGATTTTCTGTGCAAGAAATGTGCACATTTAGAGAAATACAACAAACAAAGAGAATTTTTCCACCTATTTGCATGACCCTTCCAAAGACAGAGGAGTTATCCACAGTGCTGCAGTTCCACCTTCTGTTCCTGAACTGATATTGACATTCCTTGATTCCAGTCTTTGCCCCCTCTCCAATATATTGCATATGGTCCTGATACAGCTGGCAAAGTTTCTTCTGCCCTTGTGAAAGTCCTGCCAATTGGCTACAGAGTGGCTGTGCACCTATGATGTAAGCCTCTGGAATCAGTAGAGGATTCATGGCCAGAGACCTGCAAAAGTGAAATTTTGCAGATAATTATAATTAGTTTTGAAAGTATGGTAGCAAAGTAATTCCACAACAACAAGATGCAACCAACCCCCCCCCCAAAAAAAAAACAAAACATCTGTATTCATTAATGTTACAGGACAAGAACTTAATGACAAAAAGCACACGAATCTTATTACAAATGTTTAAGCTGTACCCAAACCTTAAAGTTTATACGAAGGTCATTCAAATCGCAAAACAGTGCCAATGGGATACAATATCACTGGTAGAAATTTCCAGGAACAAGAATGATTTTTCTCTAGAAATACCCCCATCGTAAAGCCAAACAAGTTGACACTAATAATAAGATGACAGAACTATCATTTTAAGTTTTACTTTTTATTGGTCCACAAATGTGACCAGCATATTTGCGTATTTTTGTAATGCCTACAAATATTTTTTAAATGTATTTGATTTCCCAGTGCACTCAGGGCTCCATATCTCATGTGCCTGAATGTACAGTTTTATGTAAGGCTCTACACAAGCAAAATTATACACGATTTCACTGAATGTTTTTGATTTAACACTATGAAAAAAACAGAGCAAACCTTGTTAAAATCCTACAATCCCTGGAAGATGTAATAGAACTGGAGCAATTAAAGTGTTTAATTTTTAGACAGGGTTTGAAGAAATTCTTGTCATAGACCATAATTATAGGAACATGTTTCACTAATAGCTTAATTGGAACATCATTACGACGCTACACACAACTCATACTTATCCCTCTTAAATGTGTGCAATCCTAGCTTTCTACATTCCTGTCTCATGTGTTAACTCTATTTTTGCATTTGTCAGAACTTTCATATGGCGAGATTATAGCATTAAACATTTCAGACTTCTAAAACACATTCTATACATAAAGGAAAAAGCAAAAGTCATACATACCACCAAGAACTAGCCTCTACAACTGCTTGCATGAAGAATGTCAGGAACATAACTATCAGTACAAAATGTCTAGAAGCCATTACACTTCTTCTAAATGTTGAGCAGGTAAGTCCGTTTGCCAGAATCATTCTGAAAGTGGTCTGGAAACACATAAAAAGCATCACTTAGTTATTTTACTGTGCCGAAGTATGATGCATGCAAAACTGCATCCCAAGCGCCATTAAGAACAGTCTTGTATTTTGTGAACAGCTAATGTACGAGTTTTACTTTTCCTGCAGAAGATCTTGATGCTTCAGGGACCCACTCAAGTCTGTTATTGGTTACAGAACAGTAATTTGGCATGGGGCTTTTGTGTGAATCACATGGAACTGATGGACAAGTGCCCTGGAGACTAGAATGTCCTTCATGAGTCTGGAAAAGGAATTCTTTTGTGGACAATTAACTAATTTAATGAAAGGAACACCACTTCTTAAAAAAAACAAGACTATGAAAGCAGTTCAACTAATAGTTACCAAGACTTATTATTTTTAATAAAAAAAATACTCAAATCAAATCAAAAGATCTAGAATCTGGATCAAAGATGACCATTAAAGTTTTTTTTTGTGCATTGCACTGATCTAAAAACGCACTTGGTCTTAATGGACTTGGAAGAATATTTTATTTTCTCCACATGGACGAGAAATTACTGTGCATACATTCTCACTCAGACATCGCCCAGTAAGAAGCATCTTCAGGAGGAAAAATGTGTCGCTTTCTTTACATGTTTTCTAAAGTATAACAGCTTTCTAATTAATCTGAAATCACCTTTGTCGTTATTAAACGCCAACATTTTTAAAAGCTAGATTTCGAATCTAAAAGGGTACCCACGTGTCTTCTTGTAGTGTTAATTCACGAGTTAAAATTAACTCGCCGCACAAAAATCTTGTTTTTTTTTTTAGAAACAACTCTTCTTTCTGATAATTGTTCATGGATTAAGAGACAGACGGTCAAGAGTCAGAAGTGTCAAGAACCACCCCCCTCAGATACTAGCTAACGGCTGTCACAGAAGCACAGAAGAACCGCTCGTTTGAAGACGCAGTCGAGGAATCGCCCTGAAATACGCTTCTTAAAGTCCGAATACCAGGTCTGGATCAATACGACGAACTGTGGTATTGTCCGAGGCCACCCGAAGCAGAACTATGCCAAAGGCGAAATTAACTGTCGCAGAAAGCCGTTTTATAGCGATACACTGAAAAAGCCCTTTTTAAAAGCTGAACTTCAGTCTTTATGAAAGTAGTCACCCACGCACTGTTACGGAGCGCATTTTATTAGTAAAATCCACAAACGACTGTATACAAACAAACCCTTAAGTTCCTTAACATGAAAGCTACCTCCTATTCAAATATATTTAAAAAACGTTTATTGAATCAAGGAACTGCTGAGCAGAAATTATACAACTAGGCGGTTCTCCTGAAGTAAGAATTGCAACGAAATTAGGGAAAAAGCTAACAATATTCTTACCTCTCCATCCCTTGGGCCTTGATGTACTTTTGTGAATTGCAAGAACTTAGAATTAATTGAACGAAACTTCAAATTCCACTTAAACGAAAAGAATCGTTCACATTTATGTCAACGCTAAATTTCTACTTTAATTCGCCAAATTCACTTTGGTCATATTTTACGAACTGTAGCTACTGCATTTTTAAATCGAGGTCAGAGCGGATGAAGTTCCTTCAGATTTTACATGGTCCACAAATTGGGATGGACTGGATCTGTAGGGAATCGATCGTGGCCATCGTTAGCTCTGGAACAACTCTCTCGAATCCAATTAAAATGTCGGTGTTATAATGCAGCTTTCAAAAATAATACAGCACCAAACATTCACGCATAGCCTATAGCTGTTCCATATAAAATGTGAAGAAATGAGATCCGCTTAGTCCACAGCAAACGCTAATTACCAGATCATGCACTTCAACGACACGCAGTCTGCTGCACCTTTCACGGCAACGCTGACAATGAATGGACTGAAAGAGAAAAAAAAATGCGCTAGCAACTGCATTAATAGATGTGTTCATTACAGCGTGGGCTACGTCGGCGGAGACGTTAAAACATTTTACGCAACCGGTCTGAAAGCAAAAAATCTTCATCGCTGCTCAAATGTAATCAGCAGCTGACAGCTTACCTGCCTAGAAAAATACCCCTGAACACACACAAAGCCAAAATAATTTCAGAGAAAATTTCAGATCAATTCGTTTTTTACATCGAAATTACAAAAGTGTACAACTTAAAATGCTTATTAAAACCCTCCGACAAATTCATTTTCATTATAAACGCAATCCACCGACGTATTTTACAGGTAGCGCTTCCAAACGTAATGGAACAAACTGGATATACTAAAAATTAAATTCGATAAAATTTAAGAGTTCGATAATATGACAGAAGTTTATTTAAACTGTAGTATAAAGCAAATTACATTTTATCAAAAAAAAGTGAAAACCCTATTAATTTCAGCCATTACGTCTGATCGCTTAATTCCCGGAACGTTGCACATTGGCTCAGATTAGTATACGTATATTTTGCAAAGTCAGACAAATCTTCGGACAGTTTCGACCAAACGTTGAAATGGTGATTAAACTCTATTACACAGGGGGAAATGATTAAACAGAATTGCAGCGCATTTACATTACGTTCGTTTTAAAATACAAATTGAAATGTTTCTGTAGTGCGTGATCCACACGAACAAATTGCAAAGCCTTATGAATTCTATAAATTAGTTTTCTTTTTCAGGTAAGTTTGTTTTTTTTTAAATGTGAATGTTCCCTCCCTGAAGACTTTGGGCCTCTTTAATTACTATTTAATATTCAGCCAACTTTTACATCATTTATAATACAGCACATGCTTTCGTTTATATGTTCCAAACACCCCCCGTTCCGCCGCCCCCCGACACTGCAGTAATTAAAGAGGGGGGGTGCATTCTCTCATCACCAAACGACACCCGAGTCTGAAGCTTTTTCATTTATATATATATAAATATGGCTAACTGGAGCTCCTGATTTACGAAACAGCGAGGGAAACTTGATCAAGCCATGACGATTTCAATTTGCGCTGGGTGCGTATCGATGTATTGGAATAGGTTAGAAAAATTAAAACACTGTCCGATCGCTCATTACTGCAATACCTCTTAACTTTAGGGGACAAACCACCACTTCTGTGCTTTATTTATATATAGTCCCTGTATACGGTTACTTTCCAATACCACAGAGGGGGAGCGTCGGCTGAGGAATTAACGTGAATTAATCCAGTCGCAGACCTATTTCAAAACGAAGGGACGCAAGACCACTCTGCTGCACATTACAGCATCTCAACCCATGTCACGTCAAACTCCTGCCCCCAAGTCCAATGTCACATTTGGATTTTTTTTTTTAGTCCCGACTACAGCGTTACCAAAGCACCAGACTGGCTCGAATGACCCAATCCTCTGAAATTTCTCAGGTGAGGGCCAAGGACGGGAAATTCCTAAGGGGAGGGTGTTAAGCATTAATTGATAGTTAACTCGTCAACACGTGGGGGCTCCCTCTTCACACAGTTCATGCTTTTCAGTGCTGAACCACTGCACCATTCTCCCTCATACAACTGATTGCTCGGAAAAAAATCGAAAACGTTACATTTCTGCTTGCTTGAGCAGTGTAGATTCCTGCACCGCGGCTCGGCTCCTGCAGACAAAGCTCGTTCAAGTCGCCTTTCATCAACACGACGGCCGACGTTCATTTAATAACGATACCCAAGACACACTGGACGCAGAAGAACGCAGGGTTGTGATTAAAGAGACAAATCGGCTCTCAAAACTAGTAGAAAACAGCGTCACGTAACCTTTTAAGAACTCAAAAGAAACTGTTGCAGCTCGTAGAGAAAAAATAACCTCGCTCAATTTCAGCTCCCGTCGAATTAAACAGAGTTCCACGTAATAAATCAGATTTCCTACCTGATCGAATCGAGTCAGCTACTTTAACGAATTCACTACTGTACATTGGTTTTGTTTAAAATTTAAAATAAAATATTATGCCACAATTGCGAGTTTCAGTACAAGTACGAGAAGGATATAAAACAAACTAGAGGCAGACGCAGTAGAGATACAAAGTATTCTGGAAAGTTAAAAAAAAATACACCACAATAACGGTATAATGAAAACAGAAGGTTGTACTAGAGGGGGAAAAAACGAGATCGAGTAAAACCAGCACCTAATTTTTTGTTTCCAGAACGTCTTCGTACCAATTTAAGACTGACGTCGAAACGACTTCTTATTATGGAGCTTGAAAATTTAGCATTTCCCCTGCAGAAAAGATGCTGCACGACAAAAAAAAAAAACATGCTTTAAATGTAACACTAGATATTCTGCAAGGGTTTAATATATGGGTGATATTATGCCTATAATTAAGGGAAATTGATACAAACGATCGTTAATATACTCACGTTTCTATTGAGTATGAGTAACCCACGGTTTCCATCTTCAAATTAATCTTAATGATGTTTATATAAATATAGTAAGGGAACTCCACATTCAATATCCAGAAGAATGAGAAGGTAGATTCCTTTGAATACAGACGTTACAGTCCTTCTAAAAAAGACTAGTTACGGAAAGATCCGCAGAAAGATTATATTTAGTCCAACGCGGCTGTCACAGAAACTGGCATTATATACATGATTAACCTTTTCCTGTTGTCGTTATCGTCCCTCGATCACTATAGCTTATGTTCAAATTCAAATACTTTTTTTTTCCATTGCACGAAACAGCCGCTATCAGGACACCAATAAAGAACGTTTACATCTGTGAGGTCCGTTGTAATATTTTTTTAAACCACTATATTGCAAAAATGTGTTCCCTAGAACGCCAGTAGGGGGTGCCATTCTTACAAAAACAATGTTACATTTTAAAAGACCATATTATTCGGCGAATTTAAGATGCACGTTTGGAAAACAGCTGAATTGCAAAGACGCCTTTCTCAAGTGCAGCAAATACAAGTTAAGTGTATGTAAAACGTTTTTATTCAGATCGACTCCAGCGGCTGTAGAGAAAAAAAAACCCAACATTTTCTTTCCCGCATGAACAATGTAACGCTGAGTTCTGGCTGCAAATTAGATAAGAAATCTGTTCCCGGTAGCCAACAGAATAAAAGTATTGAAATTTAAGGATATATACACACACACGTGGGACCACAGAGAGGAAATATTCTTATGGATAAAGCATCTTTCAAAATGTTAAGCACGCATTACAGCACAGATAAGCCAGTCTCTGTTGAGTCGAAAACTTACATTTGCCACATAAGAATAAGAAACCTACCTTCGAGACTTTTGTCAAATAATCTGTAATCCACGCTTTATTATTTGGTTATCGAGTGTCCTATTCCTCTGCAAAGCTCCTGTGTAGTCGAATAGATTTACCATCCAAAGCACACGAAGGCATTAACAGAACATACACTGTTCCTCAGTGATAGTGGCGATTAATCTTCTGTTTCGGCGTTGAAAAATTAACAAGGGATAGACTACCCGGCGCTCCTCGCACACAACTGCCGAAAGTAAAGCAATGAGAAGCTATTTACAATGTCCAAAAGCAATCTGAATAATTAGCGCTTCTAACAAACGTGGGCGTGATTGTGCGGAAACACTTAATGACAATTAAAACATCCACAAGCAACAACAAAAAAAAAAAGTGCCACAGGCAGATGCTGAACCAGTAAAACTTTTTTTTTTAAATCGGCGCTGCGGTGTTTTTTTTTTAATAGAAAGTTACCTTTCTCAGGTTCTGCAAACTGCTTCAACAAATGCGTTCCGGCACAGATGAAGAAACGACCAATAACTGTTTTGTGGGCCAAAAACAGGACAAAAAACTCCCCCGAAAGCCTTCTTTTACACTTTCAGCCAGATGCGTTTCTACCTGCTGGACTGTTCACACGGGAATCTTCGTAGCAAATACACTTTCACTGTATCCTCCATTCTGAGCAGAACACCAATCCTCCCTTTTCTGGCTTCGGTAACAGCGGTTTGCAATTCAAGAATTGCCAACCAAGTTCTTTCGCTCCCCAATCCAGCTGCAAAATCGGACGACGAAAATCCGTTTTTTTAAAAAAAAAATATAAAAATAAAAAAAACACAACAGAAAAGCAAGTATTTCCAATAACCAGTCCGAGAGGAGTTACTGCAGGGAAGCGTAAACCATTATTTAAGATTCTAAAATGAGCGTTTCAATCTATGTTTTCCTTTTCCCCCCTCAAAAAAAGTGAACTACGTAAAAAGAGCTTCGGACTTCTTCAAATACATCACCTGCCTCTCCGCCTTCTCTCTGTAACTAGCAAAAGCTACAACTGATGAGCATAAGAAAACTTCTCCTTCGCGCATGCGCCCTGCGCCTCCTACTCTCCACCACCAGATTCGTTTTAAAGTCATAAAACTCCTTTAAAGACTGGACGCAGGAAATAAAAAAACTGGGGCATTTGTTCCTAAAATCATCACGTAGCTTTGAAGACTCCCGAAACAACCCACTCGAATATTGCATGTCCTATATATATATATTACGTGTCTTTGAGCAGCACAGGCAACATGTAAAAATCATTTTAAAGATGAGTTTAGTTGAGCAAATGGGAGAATATGAAATATACTGTATGAAGAATAAAAAGAACGGCTTGAAAATGACTCATGTCCTTGTTACTAAACGCAATTAACTTTTCCATATACAAAATCACACAAAAATCTAAATAAAAATAATTATTGAATAATTTAACCAGCTGTTCGCATTTGAGTTTATCTGGTTTCTTGGCAACGTTAGTTCGCGAATATTTTAATGTCAGGGCAGCGCAAGAGTAGAATGCAAATATTTAACACCTTTATGTAAATTGTAATGAGTAACTCTGTTTTGAATATTTTCATAACGTTAAAGCCAGAAAAAAGACAAGATTTATTCCTATTAAAGACTGTATCCCTTGGCTGTCTTTCAGCGAAGTTTCAACAGCTAATACTAGCAGATCAAGGCATCTGTCTTTTGGAACAACAGGTTGTTATCAATGACCGGCAGATTACTTAAAACAAGAACCTTAGGGTGTGTATTTCAATTTAGGATGTTAACCTTTTTTTTTATTAAACTAATATAATTTTTGGGAAAGTGATAATACTTCACAAATATCACCTTTTTTTCTGTGCATATAACCCAATTGGTATGTTGTATTTCGAATAATAATTTGGTAGGTATTATTTTTAAATCGAAAATGTAATTTTACCATAAGATTTCAAAGATTTTGTTTTGCTGTAATTAAATTCGCGCCTTTTTGTTTATATACTGTACTTCGTCATTTGGAAAATATCTTTTAAACTTAAAATTCCAGGTAGGTTTTTATTGTTATAATGTAATAGCAGCAGCAGCGAAAGTTGTGAAAAGTTGTTTAGATTAAAAAATGAGTTAACATGTTTAACGTTCGTGTGTTTTCCAATCATAGTTCGATAGTTTGAGATAGTTCCAACTTCGAAACTAATCATGTTGGAGGTGGACGAGGATAAAAAAATGTACAGGTGTGACTGAAAGGTCAAATACACGTATTTGTGATGTACGGTACAGTACCTTACAATGAACTGGAATCGAAAGGAGCAGAACAAATGGAATATTTGTTTTAAGAAATGATTTAAATCATCTTAACGTGGACACTAAATGCGATTCTGCCAAAAAAAAAAATCTTAAATACACAATGTAAAATACAAACAAGGAGTCGGTCTTTTAGGTTTACATAACGGTGTCACTAAAATGACCAGATTTAGAGCCGGTCTAAGGTTCTGTGTCTAAGGTGTTTTTAAAGCCTTCATGAATGAGGAGAATTGGGTAACGTTGTAAAAATGGGTGGAACGCTCTGGCTAAACAAGACCGCTATTACCTAAAATAACCCACTACAGGGACCCCAGGCTGTCACTCGGTAAGAGCCTGAGTTTGACTTTTCTGACACGGATATCGTGTTACACTCCAGGATCTGTCGGGAGTACCTCACGTTAATTACTTATTTGGAACTAATTTATGAAATATAGATGGGTGGCAGACACATCGGTGAATTTATGAAATTTGATGACATCGTATTTTTTTTGTTTCCTTTATACCGCCAGAAACTGGAGAAAAACAATTTGAAAAAGAAATGTAATAAAAGCGATTGTTCTTTAGAGGTTTGTATTTACTTTCTGTTCAGCTACTTTGATCCTTTAATCAATAACATATATTAAATTAATTGAAAAAAACAAGTTCTGAGTTGGAGCATTTTTCTGTTGTTTTTTTTTTGTTGATGGGTAGCCCCATCTTGTGCCCCAACGTATACGACGTTTTGTAACTTCATTTTACTTTATTTTTCAACTTTTAGACTTCATATTTCAAAATAATGCACGTTTCGGTCTCGCTGTGTAAATTTCGTATTGAACTTATAATTCAGGTAAGAAACGTCTTAAGATTTCTGTTCACCATCTGAAATTACTCTTTGGGGTTCCATAAGATCCACTTCAGTTATTTAATTTGAAAAAATATGCCAGAAAGGAGACAACTGCAGTTTGAGGTTAACATACAGTAAGTCCTGTACTAAATGTATAACGCAACAAAAAAAAAAGTCCGGGAAGATAACTCTGTGAATCCCTGAGCACAATTACTTTTCTTGTTTCTCCAGGCCTGTTCTGCTAGAGTCTCTCATCTTTGTAATATATTGTATATAAAGTCTACAGTGACGCTGCTCTGCAAAAACAAAACAAAACGAAAATGCTGTAAGGTGGAACAAAAATGAATTACTCAGGACTGACCCGGAAAGTATAGTATATAAGACAAAGGTTTGAACGTCTAGAGTTGTTCTTTAGAAAACTGTCTTTACACACTTTCATATCTTAATCCCGTTTTCTTTTCCAACTCCTTTCTACCCCCTTTCAAAGTCAGTTTGAAGATTGGTACGATCTGAAAAACCAGGAAAGATCCTAAACGAGTTTCCCTGAACAGCTTCCTTAGCTCCCAGAGATCTTTGGCGATTGCAGCTCCAGTGAGAGACAGCATACTGTCTTCAATAGTAAAATAGTGTGCTTCCTTCACTCTCTGCATGTTATACAGGTACTGTAGGAGTCACATTAGGGTTTCCCTGATTACTTTCAACTCTTTACACGAACTCTGGGGGAAAAAAAGTCATAAACGTATAGGAGTTTTGAAAAAAAGACATCTCGTAATGTAAATGGTAATTGGAGAACAATATTTACTGCGTTTTCCAACTTTCCGGATTTGGATGGGTGAGCTGAACTATGCAAACGAACAGCAAATGTTGTGTTGAGTGTCTGTGTCAGGGGTGTTGAAACAAGTGTTTCCAAAAAGAACAGTATCTATAATTCAGCGTGTAAGTAATCTTCGACATTCTTCATAAACAAATATGATCCACCTGTACGCCCTCAAGATGCTGTTTTGTACCCTGGGGGAAAAGAGCTTTTGTTCTGAATATGTGGTTAAAATGTACACAAAGGCCTTATCGTACATCAAGGCAAGAGACATCAGTCGGATCATCTTTTAATCCAAACATCAAAAGATTAGCCACTCCGCTCTTCCTTAACCTCTAGGTAAGCACCTTTGAAATGACATAAACTCTCAACTTTATCATAGTACACAAAGATGAGATGATAAGCTGTCACACAGTCTACGTACTCATTTGGTTTCCTGCTCTGTGTTTTGTATTCTTCCGTTACAATTTTAGCTTAGTATTTTCTTACAAAAGGCAAAAACTAAATTGATCAGTGTGACTTCTTAAGGATAATATTGAAAATATATAATTTTTTTACAACTTGTTTTTCATATGAGATATGTTTATAGTGTGCAGTACATTGAATCTATGATCATTTTAGACTTGTTCTGTTTAGTACTCTAGGTTTGCATGTGTTTAACAAAGAAAATGAAAGTTATTGATGAGTTATTGAATTTGCGTAAGCAAACACTGCTGTAGGTGTGACGTTGTTTCGCTGCTGTTGAATAGGTAAACATTTTCATCACCAAAAAAATACTTTTAATTCCTGCTCGCTATAAACAGAAAAATGACTGCAGAGACTACAATCACCCAAGAGAGGATCTACAAATTCCTTGAGTTAGTGCAAGTATTGGACTATAAAACAGTCATAAAAAGGGACCAGTGTGAGTGAGTCATAAAAACAAAAAAGAAATAAAAGCCACATGGAAGCGGAAAGTTACAAAACAACAGAAAAACTGGGGTAAATGCTCAACAAAGTCTACTTATTATCAAAAATAACACATGTAGCTTTCTGGCCCTAAAATCTTTGAAGGCTACATAGTTTGTACAGTATGTGTATTCAAAAGGGAGCCCTGAGTACGTGTGGGGGCTGGGGATGGATTTAAATTGTTTCTCCTGCACAGTCACAATGTCATCCATTCTGCCTCAGGTACAGGGCAGGACAGGCAGAGTCTGACTGGGCCTCAACATCCCAGGTTCAGTACCTTGACTACAGCATATCCGTTTCCGTTGGCTGCTGCAGTTCGTGCCGGGGATAGATGGGGCATTCTTGCATTCTTTGGGAACTAGTGCCAGCAAAAAAGTGACGCCTGCCATGAAATGTATTTGTTCTCATTTAATTGTTGGTTATTTAACCAAAAAAAAATAATCGCTGCCAACATCAGAAAGTAAGTCACCTTTATTGAATGAATATAAACAAGCTAGTCAACACTAAATATTCTGATACATATAGTAACAATGTTTGGAATTCTAGATACCTTTCATGTACACATCTACAAGACACGGAGTTACAGTTAACTGCCTATTACATGCCCATGTTTAAGTCTTGAGGATTTCTTAGTACCATGTCAGATACCTTACCATATATTCAGTAATACAACCCATAACATGCCACACACTGGAAGGAGATTCGACAATAAGCACTATCAACTGAGGGTCGAAAGGGAACATCAGGAAACACAGACCATGGTTGTAGCACATCACATTCAAACACCACTCCACACAATTACATTGCTGATGTACTTCGTGTCGACTTGTTTGAGATCTGCGCCAGAAAACACTGCTCATCAAGGAAATCACCCCCACTTTCAGATGAAAGTCATTTAGTGGCGACGTGCAAACTGAATCCGCACATTTCATTAAATACAAAATCATTACTGTACAGCAAAATTATAGACAGAATTAGTACAGAATCCCCAAATGAATAATATTCAATCTTTTTTTTTTAAATATAGAAAAAAATACAGAGAATGAAAATTGTATTAGTAAAAGAAGGAAACAAATAGACTTTTTGTGGTGGTTCAACACGAAACGTTTCCATTTGTCACAGTGTTTATTTAACCCAGAGTTTTTTTTTACAATACTAAAAGGAGATCTTCTGAAATTCATAAATTCAACACAAAAAAAAAGAAATTATTCACCTTTTGGTAGGACAAGTCACCTTCACCCCCTGAGGGACACTGTCATTGTCAACCCTACATTTTAAACCATCAATTATCATCATTCAGTACAGAGAAAATGAGTTTTAAACAACTGCTCCGAAATTGGCACATTTCATAGAAAGGAACTTACATCTGCACATTGCTGTCTATTTTACGTTCTCTACTATGTATTAGCTTTTCATGGTAGGAAAATCCTACTTCAAGTATTCAGTAGTAACGTTAAGGACCTGATGATTGAGGACTACTAAAAGTATCCTCCCTTAATGCAACATTAAAGTGAATGTTTAAGTTTCTTATTCATCAAAGCATTGCCTACCCCTTTTTACTGGGCATGTTAACATCTTTCTTTGACAATACTAGTCTCAGGCTATTTGCAAATAAAGCCTGTACTTAATTGCCTGTGAGTTATGGATGCCCCACCAGTCAAACATAGTCTATTGAGTGTAAAGTAAAAGCCTTTTTCTTCTCTGCTTAAGGAGCAGAACAGAGGAACACAGGATACTGCTTTTGTCCGCACTTCACTTGAAGACTAGAGGTTCATTATTTCAAGAAAATACATTCAACTAGGTATAGCTTACCCGTTAGATACCTTTCTGCTGTTTTTATACATTCAATCCTCAATGATGAGCACAAACCACTTCCTTACTGCAAACGGAAGATGGGGACAAAATGAAAGTTGGCAATGTGTTGTCAAACGAAACATTTAAACTATCACTTTAAAGAAGTTGATAATTGTCCTTATTCACAAGTGCAATTGTTGTCAGCTGTGCTAAATAATCCCCACACTACTTTATTGTTTCCCATAAACCAAAATATTTTAAACTGTGGTTTCACTTCACTAAAACAGGGAATCTCATATTGACCTGCAGCCAAGCCAAACTGAGTAGTGGTATACCATTGACACCTTGATCTGAATTGTGAAGGAGACACTTCCCAATTCCTGTTCCAAATGTCTCTAAGACATCAGGCGACAGCGTTCCTCGACCTTCTCTGAGAGACGGACTGACTTGGGAATGAACATCACTCATATGTATGTACACTGCTGCCTCCAGTGTAAAAAGAAATGGCACCAGTAGCCAAGGAATGCTCTGGAAGTTCAAAACCACATCATGACAAGACGCAGCAAGCTTTTAAAAAATCTTAATAAATGCAAAGGTATTTCAGTTCATCCAATGTTAAAACACTTTTGAAAATGATCTCTACAATATTCTCAGCCACACCTTTTAGGCCCATATGAAGTGGGGCATGAGGATACTTCAGTATTACAACTACAATAAATTTGCACTACGTGCCAGACTGAACCACTTAACTATTTGAATATTTTACACTTACAGGATGTGGTAATGGTTTAGCTATCATCATTTCCATAAATTTATAAAATTTTAACTCTCTGGGGGAGTTCTCTGGCATTTGGTAGATGCATCAACCATCACACTATTTTACACTTCTTTTGTTATATCTTTTTTTCCAGGCAAGTTTGAAAAAAGAATTTAAGTTCTATTTTCATTTATATATATACTGTATAGGTCTTGGTCAAATATAGACACAAAGTAGTTTGTGAGGCACGAGCCACCTTGTTCAGAGGGATAATAGTAGTCAACTGTCACTAAAAGATGAGCTGCTCAGTTTTTTCTCTCAGAATGGCATTGAGAAACTCATAGACACTGTTTCCATCCTGACCAGAGCTGAGGTAAGAGTACAAGACGTAACTGTTGCTTTGAAGGGCAACTGGGCAAGAGAAAAAGAGACTTGCTGAGGTCTGGGAGATCATGCTTCCCAAACTTTCTTTATTTGATCTATAAAAACACAAATGCTTCATAGAAACAGGAGTAAACCATTGACATCTGTGCTTACAATAGCATGAATACACATTAACCCTTTCATCAGTCATGATTTGGAAATGCAGACAGATTATGCATCAATCATGTTTTTTTCTGATGTCATGGTTAAGCCATGTTTTCTTTTGCATGAACACTTTTTCAAGTGATCTTCTCTTCTCTGCGGCAGCAGCATCACAAAGAGTAGCGTCCTGAAATTGCTGAGAACTCTTAAGGAACTGAAGAGGCCAAGAGAGACGCTCATTGAAGGCATTTCTTCGTTTCGAAAACAGGGTGGGGGGAGATTGTTTCAGACGGAGGTGCTTGGCTTGGTGCTTGACCAGGTAAGCTATGCATGTTAACCTCATGGCTAAGGAGGAGTTGCAAGGTGTGCATAGATTTGATATGAACTCTTTCTGAGACCAGATAGCCGGGTGACTCAGGTGATGTAACATGAGACACTACGGTAGCCGGCATGGCTCCCCACTCATTTCCATTAAGGCCCAATGCATTGAAACTGAAAGTTCACAGGTCTCCCTTTGCATCAACACATTGCCTGCCTCACCCGGAGGATATATTTCCACCTAACCGTAACAGTTTTGTATTGCTAAAAACCGCCTTAATTAAAAAAAAACAGCTGAAACAATCCCCTAAGAACTTCCTCCAGAAGTTCATCAGTTTTATGCAAATACAAGTGACTCTAGACGTGTATGGCACTTTGTTAGAAAAGCTGGAGGAACAATATTTTTTCTATTCTAATTTCTATACCGAAAAAGCAAAAGAAAAAGCCTAATTGTGTTTGTAGGGAAATTCCAGAGGGTAGAGGGAGGCAATGTTCAGGCAAATGTGTCAGACAAAAGTTCTGCTTCAAGACTCTTCCTCCAAAGTTTTGATGACCTGCTCGAGGATGTCAGGATATGCATCCGCGATGCACTGCAGGAGATTGTCCGTATGGAGCTGAAGGGTCCTGTTCCTGGTCTCTTCCCTCTCCAGCTCTTCCATCAGCTGAGAACATAGAAAAAAAGAAAAATAGAGAAATCATAAGCCATCACTAAAATAAGCTAGCAGCATCTGCAAAGGTACAGTGCACTGGCTCAACATTTGAAACAGGCTGAATAGTTTCACCTGGATATTGACAAGGTTCGCAAAAATAAAACTGAAAAGTGTTTCGCTGCTGCTCGGATTCTGTGGAAAAAAAAGATCTACGTAAAATTAAAAAGAAATAGTGCCTTGCATTGTTAGTTCTTGGCAAAATGTCAGGGGTATAATGTGAAAACAGAACTTTATGAAGGTCGAAATGGCCATACAATGTCTTCCAACAAAGTGTTGATGTATAACTGTCAAATGCCAAAACGTGTTTTCACCTTTAATATTTAATAGCAGCATAAACATAAACATCAATGTCAACAACAACAGTAATAATAATAATAATCGGTGCCAATGCAGACCACCTCTGTGAATTTTATACAAGCCAGATTAAAGCCTGCAGGAAATAGGGCTTGTGCTTAGGCTTCCAAGTGGAGTTGTGCTGCAGTAGCAATGCCACAGATGTCCACTGAGCCAGTGATTCTAGTGATAAGACAGTTGGAGCGCTGATGCCTGCGGTTGACTGGAGTAATTGCTTATGAAAAACAGAAAAGTTTAATTGGAAGTCACAAAAAAGGCAGAGAGAAAGTTATGTAATACATGACTTTGGGAGAGTGATGTAATACAAAACAAGAGCATGCACATATCCTGTTTTCTGATACACGCAGTTCAACTGCATGTACATTTTTGTTCTAATGGAGCTGCTGCTCAGCATCACAGAATATCAAATGGATTTTGTGTACTGTAAGTAGCCCGTTATAAAACGAGGCAAAAGTTCTTCATCAGGATCAACTATTAACATTTGGCAGAGTGGGCAAGGAGGGCATATGCCAATCGATAATAGGTTTTATGCCATTGGTATTAATACTGTACTTCTTGGCTCTTCAGCATTCCTGATTGACAACACAACCCACTGCATTTAACATGCAGCATTACTCATTAGATAGCAGACTGCTGAAACAGTACTTAACTTAGCACAAGTGGGTAACTGCAATGCTGGCTAGTAACAGCACTAAAAATTTATGCTACTTCTGACATCTGGGGGAGAGCAGATTGCGGTCCATGTGTTTACCAAATGTGCAAAACGTGCATCCAGATACCTAGAACAGATACCCAGTTCAAAAAGGACCAGAAATGCCCTTTGCTAACCTGTTACACATGGCACCTGTATTACAAGCAAGCAACTGATGAGGTAATTAGCCGAATCCTGGGGGAAAGGAGGGAGACAGAATAGGACTTTTATCACTAGGAAATAGGTTTCCAGCAGAGCTGTAGTATTAAGTTTGGAATTCCCAGCAGGCAGTGTACTGCTCCTTAAATTCCTCAACAACACAGTCATATCACAACTCGTCATCTTCTGAAAACCTGCTTAAGTAGTCCCCCAATTTCCCTTAGAGGATATTTTATTGTTGTTAAGATCAAAAGCAGCCAGGATTCACTTAATTATTTCGTTTTAGTGATCCAATCAGATTATGATACAAGCAATGACTAGCAATTATTATTATTACTTGAAACTTTTATATTTTCTCGTGCCCTTTTCTTGTCTAACGGACAGCTACACACTATGACATACTGTAATACTAGGTTCAAACAGAAAAAAAATGTAAAATAAAGGTGTCTGCACAGCGCATGTAAACATACTGTAATACATTTGAATTTCATGATTTTTCAGCTTATGAAGTTCTCAAGAAATGTCTGATATTACTTGCAATTGTTATCTGTTGCAAGCTTGGCCATTCATAAAAAAAGCTTCTGCTGATTTGCAGTTGAAAGGCTAATTGGATTATTCAACCACAACTAATTTATGGGCTGTATATTTCACCAAAGGATATATCAGAATTCTTTTGTATTCAGAAGTACACTCATGGTGATCTGAAAGAAGAGCAGGATTTGCTGACCAGATTCAGATTATGATTTCAATGAGTTGCTGACACCAGTCTCATGGTACCAGGTATTAGGTGTTAAACATTTAAAAAACATTAAATATATATAATTTGGAAGTTAGTTCATTGCTATCATAATTTAAAAGAGAAACTATCTCAGAACCTCAGAACATGAAAACTCTATAAAAGATCAAATATGAACAGTTAGTAGTATGGGCAAAGAAGGCACATGACAATTGATAATGGGCATTTCCATATTAAATACCACTGGTGCATTTAATAACACATGTATGATTGAACCCATTCTAAAACAGTGGATGAAAAATTACAAAGAAGGTGCAAGTTCTTTTGTATGAAAATGAACGTTATCTGCACTCAAACAGATATTCAACAGAAAAGAACCCCCTTCAGGAACGAACGAATGAATGAATTAAAAAGGTAAAAACTTGTTTAAATTTACGGCATTCCTGTTATGTCCCTCCAGCAGTTTGGCTTGTGGCCAGTGCTCCTTGTTAAAAATTTGTTAAACGTGTTTGGCATTAATGCAAACATTAAGTGCTCATTTGTTACAAATTCTATCAGAATGTGTTCATTTTAGGCAATGAAGCAGTTAGCAACAAAGTCCACGGTTTCATTAAGGTAGTGTTTAAAATACAATGATGTATGCCCTGCATAGATATGGCGCCCCTGTGGCTGTGTGAATAGTTTTTTTCAAAATAACCACAGGTTGTTGATGGTTAAAAATCAGAGTAATTTTAAGTCGACTAGGAAGAGGACAAATAAAACATTGTTTAGGGTTAGCCCAGAGAATAGTCACAAGGAATTCCAAAAAAATCCATCAGTTGTTTTCTCAGTCTCCAGCCAGAATGGTTTTAGTAATCCATAATGCCCAGAAATAAATAAACATGAAAAGTAATTAAAACGTATGAACATGCGAAAAGTTACAAATGAGAAGAGGCCATTCAGCCCATCTTGCTTATTTGGTTAAAACAAGCAACATAATTTATTATAAATCAGTAGTAGGATTTTCTCAGGTTACCTCCCTTAGAACAAAGCCTTTAACTACTGGGTTTGACCACATAGCCTTCAAAATAATAGTCAATTGTACTGTATAACCCTTATAAAAAAACTCTAGCAACCTGTTGAGGTAATTCAAGATATTAAATATAAGTATAAAAGCAATAAATGTTAACACAACAACTATATAGGCACACTAGCTACAGTAGCTCTTGTAGGCATGCTTGATGAATTTTTCCTGTCCTGCTCATACTGACGTTAAAGCAATGCCACAGAGTATGTATGTTTATGAGGACAGAACTATCCCATGAGCACCTCCCTCCATTCAGAAATCAATGCAAAATATCCGTCTTATTCTTCCCTTTTGTTCGTCTAATTCGAACATATATTTCAGCTAAATTTCTACTCAACCACTTGAGGCTTATGGGTCACATCTCACATATCACTGGCCTATTAACTAAATTTCTGCAACCTACAGTAGAGCTCAACCATTTCTGGTTCTTCTGCCCTTACCACTTCTTCTGCCCTTACTCCTATGCTTATGAGAACAAAAACAAAATGTTACAGATGAGATGAGGATACAGGATTTGTCCCTTCTTGCTTATTTGGTTGCTAGGAGCATATTGATCTAAAGTCCTCATCTACTATACCTACTTCTCAAAGGATCTAAAAAATTCTTCTTCAAGCACAAACTGTAGCTAAGCAGCTTTTCCCAGACCCCCACAGCCCTTTGTCTAAAGAAGTGCTTCCTGTTTTCTGTCCTAGAATCACATCCTCATAACCTGTTTTCACCTGTGTTGTCAGTAGTCTTTAAAATGGCTGGTGCAGTCCACTGGATTACTTTTGTCAAGGCCTATCAGGAGTTTAAACATTGATCAAGTCTCTTTGTAGTCTCTTCTGTTCAGCACTAAAGAGGTGAAGGCTTCTTTACCTGTCTGATTCTACAGAGGCACTATGCTTTTTGCAGTTTAACAGCAAATAAAACTGAGGTCCAAACAATGCAGGATCTATTTAGATCATTGTGTAATTAGATTATTGGCCTTGAAAACCAGGGAAACCTTTTCTTTTTTTTAAAACATGCATTTTCTACTTGCACACACTGTGCAGAAGACAGGAATCTCTGCAATGACATTTTTTCCACTGACCACTTGTCTGAATGTATGCGTAAGGTAGCATCTAGCCTGGCTTCAGCAGCAGAGTTACTTTAAACATCATGTGACAGTGCTTTCTTGTACTGATGCTGCAGAGCATCCGTCTTCCAGTGAGTGTCACGACACACACGGACATGGTAGTTTAGCCAAGAGTGAAGGTGATGTGTCCACTCAAGAGAGCGTTTTTGATAAAAGAAAAAGATTTCCTAGAATCTGCATTTATCACAGTTTTCCAATAATATGACAATATAATATTTGACTGCAAAACAATGAGAATGGAAACGTGGGTTACTGAGGTACCTTCCAGGACTCGAGCCCATTCTTTGAGTACCACGTTGTGCAAGGGTGACAGCACTTTGCATACTTTGCTCTGCAAGTCTGTGCACAAGAATGATGGCCGTTAAGTAGCATACATACATATCGGCAGTACTGCAGAAGGTGCTGGTAAGTCTGATGCCAAGAGTTTAGAGCGTGATATTAAAACAAAAATGATGGGAAAGATTAAGTAATAAAGTTTGAAGCAAGATTTTTTTTTTTCCTTCACTGATGTGGAATTCCATTTATTCTCATGCTAGGGACTAATTAGGGGCCTTGCCGGAAGATCAAGGTTTTGAGATCTCTGGGTCTTAATAACACGGTGTGCCTGTCTGCCACCTGGGAAAAGGCCAGGCGCTCTTGCTCTCCCCACAGCAGGCACTGCCGTAGGCCGCTTGCAAGTGCAGGCAGGAAGCTACAAATGCTTAACCGCTTCACTGCCAAGACCACTCGCTACCTGCCACAGAGGGAGGTCCGCCGGCACAATCCACTTGCAGAGTCCGATTGGAAAGGGAAATCGAGCTGCTTCCGATTCATGCTATTCTTTGAAGTC